ATCAGTCGCCCCTAGCCTATTTTTTTTTTCCTGATTCATTCGAGTTACCCTGTCATTCCCGGGTGATAAATCTAGATTGCGTGTAACGACAAACACTAAACTTAAATGTTTTAACCAATAAAATTCCTTAATTTCGAATGATTTCATAACCGCCATTCAAAGCAAAGACTCTTCTAACTGGAATATTTGGGAGAAAACGGTAGCACATTATTTTAACAGGACAATATTAAACCTTTTTATACTATTTGCCAATCTGCACATTTAAAAAAAAAAAAATCTTGTCATTATCATGTTTGTTTGTTTTGATCTCCTAAAATTTTTTTTCACACGGGTCATTCACACAATAAATAAAAGTTCAACATTGTCAAATTCGTTCGAATGTGAAACCTGATAATGCAATTAATTATTATTCTTCTCCTTTCTGATTAATAATTGCTTTCTAAATTCTAAAAAAAATACAATTATTCTTTTTTTTACACAAAAATTCGCAATTTTACATCAGATCGCATAAATTTTATGGGATTGTTGATAAAATATTTCTTTATATAAACATATTGCCTTCTCTCTTTTTTTTTTCAACCCGGATCTAAATAAATAGTTTCATATAGTCCTAGTTATTATAAACCTAGCAATTAATAATAAAGAATGGCCAAAGAACAAGGTGGTGTCCTTTCCGGTCACAATCCGGCTTCTTATAATGCTGGCGAACCGATTACTTTATTCATAATACAAGTAAGTATCTATTTCATTATAAAAAAATTTTTAAATTTTTTCAAGTGTTCACATAGTAACCATTTTATAAATGTCAAAAATTTCAAATTTCAAATATTTATTACAAATATCATAAATACAATATATTATGAATACAAAATACGTGAAACATCTAGAATACTAATTCATAAATATTACCCCATATCTCACTCTCTCGCTCACTCTCTCTTTATTTGTTGGCATTTTAAAAACCTTGGTCTAATCATCATCACCAATCATCATAATGTGAAAAAAGGCAGTTCTCATCATCTTCTTTACACGTATTGTCCATTTCGCGATAGCACCTCTACGACAACCACGTGTTATTGCCGAAGTAGTTGGTGGAATTTTACTCGGTCCATCGGTTATGGGTCGTATTCCTGGATTTCAACAAGCCATCTTTCCTAGCGAATCCATTCCTTTGCTCAATCTACTTGCAAACATTGGTTTGGTCTTGTTCTTGTTCATTGTTGGTGTGGAATTGAATCCAAAAATATTGATAAAATATGGTAGAACTTCTGCTACGATTTCGATAGCTGGAATCCTTTTACCTTTTGCTTTTGGTGTCGGTGTAGGTTATGGATTGTATACTCAACTTAGTGATCAGTCTGTTCCTTTTAGTAGTTACCTACTTTTTATTGGTGTCGCAATGTCAATTACGGTAAAAAAGGTTTTTGAAATTATTTTTGTTTTAAATTTGATCAAACTAACCTTTTTTTTACACACTAATCTATATTATATAATAGGCCTTTCCAGTACTTGCACGTATTTTAACAGAATTAAATTTATTAAAAACAGTAGCAGGATTAACGGCATTTTCAGCCGGCGTTGTAGATGACGTAGCTGCATGGATATTATTGGCTTTGGTTGTTACAATCATCAATTCATCAAATATGCTTACCGCATTGTACATCTTGTTACTTGCTATTGCTTGGGTTCTTATAGTAGTGTTTGCCGTTCGTCCTTTATTATTATTTTTTATTCACAAGACTGGAAGTAATGATAATGGTCCAACATTGACAATGACCGCCATAACATTGTTAACGGTGCTTACTTCTGCTTTTGTTACAAACATAATTGGTATTCATGCCATTTTTGGTGGTTTTGTAATTGGTGTTATTATGCCGCACGAGGGTGGTTTTGCTGTTGGTATTACTGAAAAAATTGAAGATTTAGTTAATGTTTTATTTTTACCAATTGTAAGTTATTATTATCATCTCCATTTTATTAGTTTTTATTTCTTAAATGCATCTATTATATATATTTATTAACCATGTTTTTTTAAAACATTTATATTAGTATTTTGCATTATCGGGATTGAAAACACAAATTGGACTTTTGAGTGACCCTAATGCTTTTGGATGGGTGATTTTAGTTACGGTGGTTGCAGTGTTTTGTAAAATTTCTGGCTGTACACTCGCAGCTAGATTAAATAAATTAACATGGAGAGAATCTTTGACCGTTGGTGTTTTTATGAGTTGTAAAGGGTATTTATTTTATTTATTTATTTATTTATATTTAAGGAGTTTTTTTTTTCTCACTAATATATATATATATATATATATATATATATATACATTTATTTTTTATCTTATACAGTCTTGTTGAATTGATTGTTCTTAATATTGGTTATGATGCTGGAGTTATTGATGCCAAAGTTTTTGTTATCATGGTTATAATGTAATTATCATCATTCATTAAACCAAACCTATTTTATTTATTTTTTAAACGATTTTTTTTTTTTTTTTTAATAGGGCACTTATAACAACATTTGCTACAACACCGTTAGCAATATGGATATATCCACATAAATATCAACGAAAATTCGAACACAAACCTGAAACTAATAATAAATTGGGTGATGTTGACGAAAAAGAAGTGACTGGTCACTCAGCTTATTCATCATCAAAGGCAAAAAAGGATAAAAATTTATTGGTGGTTTTAGATAAAGTTGAATTTCTTCCAGCTATGATGACACTCATTCAACTGTTACAAACTTCTTCATCGCTTTATCCTGCATTATCAACAATATCAACTACTGATCCTCAACCCACTTCCTCGACAAGAGATTCTACCGCAACAACAACAACTACCACTGTAACCACTTTAGCAAAAAATTCCGATTCCGTTACTGATAAAGCAACTGTTGCTGTTGATAAGAAAAGAAAAAATTCAGCATCGAGCTCATCAGATGGAAATAGTAGTGGTAGTTTGACCGTTCACGTGCTAAGGCTTGTGGAATTGACACAACGTATATCAACAGTTATTAAATTCAGTGAAAGTGAAGAAACTATTTTGCACGATCCAATTATGAATGTATTTAGAACTTTTGGCAAATTAAATTTTGTCAATGTTAAACCTAATCTTGCCATAGTATCGAGACAAGATTTTGCTCAACAAATAGCAGATAGTGCCAGTGAAAACCATGCTGATTCGGTTATTGTGCCATGGGGTGGTGCAGGTGCTGTTATTGAGGACCCATCGAATATGTTTGAAGAGATGATTGGATCACATAAAAATAAATCAACTAGTCCTCAAGTATCAAATTATATTCAAGGGGCTTTCAATCTATTGTCGGAGCAGGCTAATGTTTTTGTTTTCGTTGACAGGGGACTTGGTTTTTCAAGACAAAAAACTTCTAAAGATTTGCCCGCTTCGACTTCAGGCGGGTTTGTCAAAATTTTCTTACCGTTTTTTGGCGGTAAAGATGATAGAGAGGCGTTAAAATTTGTTGTGAAGTTAGTCAAAAATCCTAATGTTGAAGTTGAAGTTATGATAATCATAAAATCAAATGAACCAACGGATAATGATGCAGTTTTGGAAACTAATTTGGCACTTCATGAAGGCGAAGAAGAACCTGAAGGTTCTGTTAAACCACCTCTTACACACAAGGTAAATGATTTTTTCGTAATTTTTTTAATTAATCAATATCAAAATCAATCAAATAAAATTAAATTTTTACCATAATATTTTTAGGTTTCAATTGCATCAACGGTTCTTAGTGGTGGTGAAGGACATGAATCAAAAAAATTGGATGATGAACTAATTGAAAAATACAAAAAACAAAAAAGTTCAAATAGTCGTATCAGATATACTGATGTGTTGTCAGCGACACCATTACAAACTGCGGTTGAGAAAGCCAAGAAAATAGTGGAACGTAAAGATTTGGTAGTCATAGGACGTGGTAGATATAGTAGTGGCGCACTCAATCATAGAGCTGAATTTTTGGAGGTGATTAAGAATATTGGAGGTAGTTATGGTGACGAGACACGTAAATCTTTGGGAGACGTTGCCGAATCATTTTTGTTTGGTGGAGTTTCTTCAAGTATTTTGGTAGTGCAATCAAAGAAAACTTCTAAAACCGTCAACACCAATAATGAAGACGATATTATCACTGAATCTAGGGTCGTTGATATTGTTTAAAAAATTTATTAAATTTTTTTATTCATTGCTTATTATTATTTTTAATGATTTAATGATTTTGCTAATTAAAATTAACTATGTAATTTGAATGGTGCTTGTTTTATTTCTCCTTTTTATAATTAATTTTTTTAATTACATCCTTATTTATAATATAATAAACGTGTTTTTTTTGTAAACTATTTTTTTATTATTATTATAAAATTCAATTTATTTAATCCATTTTTTCGAAATAAAAGAATCAGAAACATAATACTATATTTATTAATATTAATGCGGAATTCCTTTTATTGATTGGCACTTACTTGATTACAAAATATACGTTCTACCACTGTGGTCACCGTGCCGAAAAATATATAGCTAAATATTTATATAAAATTCGTGATGATGGTGTAGAGAATTTTTAGGTAAAGATACTCACTTCGTCCTTTCATTGATTTTGATTTGTCTCGAGAAACATTTGATAAAATCTCACACTTAAAGATGTACGAAATTCACTTTATAATGTCTTTTCAAAAACCTGTCTAGAGATATATCCATAGTGGGATAAACCACTATGACTGTTGCCAGTAGTACCGATTTCGAAAAAAATGTCTCAACATTTGAAATGCGACTTAAAAATATTATCATTTATTGAGCTTTTTTGTAAAAAACTTCCAATGCCACGCGACAAAAAGATATTGTTGATAATCTTGCAAATAAAAGTTCATTCTCATTACGAATTTTAGGAGCACCGAGAACATGTATGGATAAAGAAAGCAATGTTTCCAAAAGATAGAGATGTCTTTGATTTTATGCTTCGTCCGCCTAATGTCGATACACCTATTGTTGATAGTCCTATTTTAAATATTCCAGAAGAAAAATAACGGGAAAAGCGTAAAAGTGATGCAGGAACTATTGAATCTGAAAATAGAATATATGAAAAGATTACTTAAACTTGTAAATATTGATGTTTTATATCCATCGCCTATATATCCAAATTATTTTCACTCTAAAACGTATATCAGAATCATATTGTCCACTATGTGATCGAGAGCATACTAATGAAAATGCCTATATAGCCTGAAATAAAAAACTTATCGCTATTACTGCCATCCAGCGCACAAAACTCACTTTATTTGCCGGTTTTTTCCGGCTGAATTTTCATTTTTCCGGTAAATATTTTAATTTTACCTAGCACACAGCCAATAATGTTCAAACTGAATTAAAATCACTTTATACAATTATAAATGCTTGATTAGGGTCTCTATTCGAATAAGATTTATTCGAATTATTTGTTTTTCTCGTTATGATTTGAATATTCGAATTATAATTGGAAGTTTATTCAATAAAATGAATAACGAATAATTCGATAATTCGATAATTCAAATAAAACGAATAACAAAGCAAATAAACTAACAATTCGAATAAAACGAATAAACAAATAAAATATATTGTCCACGCCCTATATGTAGAACACGGAAACATAATTACTATATTAGGTCTTTGTCATTAAGAAGTTATAGATTATATTATTTATATATTATCATCTCAAAACTTTTAGTTATCTAATTTATTAAAGCACAACTTTTTATTTATTAATTTTCAGGTTGTTTTCATATAAGACTATTTTTCAACCTTCTTTCCATTTTTAATTTTACCATTTTCTCAACGGCTTCTTCTAAAAGAATTGTTTCACCTTTAGCCTTAGTACCCGCATCATCTCGATTACGAATATTGACACTATTTGTGGATTCTTCTTGAGTACCAACAACTATTTAGAAAGTAAACATATATTTATTTATATTAAAATCTCACTTTTGAGCAAATGATGATAAAGGATTTAAAAAGAATAAACAAACCAAAAATAAAATTAAATTGTGCTATTTCTGCATTTCGTATCTTTTTATTTAGTGTGTTTTCTCCCAAATCAGTTTCAACATACAAACCGGCATCAAAGCATGCACCTGCAACTTTCTTTACATAGTCACTAAAACTGTTTGCAACTGGTATCACCATTACTTGACGTGGCGATAGCCAAAAAGGCCTTTAAAAAATTTTTTTTAAAAAAAAAACCAAATAATAATAATTTAGAAAATAGAAAATCAAGCAAGAGTAAATGTATTTTGTAAAATCAATTCATCAAGACACTAACCATTTTCCACCAAAACTTTCTGTCAAAATGGCAATCATACGTTCTACTGATCCTAATATAGCACGATGAATCATTACTGGACGAGCATAACTGTGTTCTGCATCATCCACAGTTTGTGTACGATATTCAAGATTAAAACGTTCTGGAAGTTGGAAATCAAGTTGTAATGTAGCACATTGATGTTTCCTTTTTAAAGCATCTGAAACTGTAATATCAATCTATAATATCCATTAATGGCAAGCAATAATAAATAACTCTGTAACGTGTATAATATAATCGTACAATATTAATTTTCATACTTTTGGGCCATAAAAAGCACCATCGCCAGGGTTAATTCCCCAAGGATCTCCAAATCTATTAAGCGCTGTTTCTAATTTCTTTATTCAAGATGGAAAAGAGCCATCATAAGTTATTTAATTATATAATAAGCCATACATACATAATATGATCAAATAAATCAATAAACTAAAATTCATCTACCTTTTCAGCAAATTCCCATGTTTCAACTTTACCCAAATATTTTTCGGGACGAGTGGATAATCTCAATTGGAAAGTAAAACCAAAAATTCCATACACATGTTTCAAAAATTCTAAAGCAGAATTTATTTCTTCTTCTATCTATGTTCATACAAATAATATCCAAATAAATTAAACTGGCATGATAAGATTACAAAACTTTTATGTTTATATGCTAACCTGATCCTCTCTACAAAAAATATGTGCATCATCTTGTTGAAACCTTCTGACACGTGTCAATCCTGATAATGCACCGCTCAATTCATTACGATGTAACACTCCAAAATCCGCTAGACGCATTGGTAATTCACGATATGACCTATCACGATGCTTAAATAACAGACAATGACCTGGACAATTCATTGGTTTTAATGCGAATTTTTCTTTTTCGATGTCGAAACAAAACATATTTTCCTTATTAAAAGATTTTAATTTGTAAATAAATCATAATCTCAATGACTTTGACTATCAACAAAAATATCAACTTACTTCATAATTCTGCAAATGTCCTGATTGTTCCCATAATTTTGTATTATACAAATTTGGAGTAATTACTTCTTGATAACCACGTTTTTGATTTTCCGACTGTAAATTTTTAAAAACTTACTATTTAAAATGATTCTAGTTCAGTAATGATACATTACAACTAACAGAAAATGCAACCTTAATGAAATCAATAAGCGTGTTGTAAATTCTAGCGCCATGTGGAAGAAAGAAACAACTTCCAGGACTCAAATCATCAAAGAAGAAAAGCTCTTGCTCCTATATAAATCACATTCAAAATGTTATATTCTATATCTCAATCAGTTGTTTATATTTCTAAAATATATACTATATATATATATATATACCTGCCCAATTTTTTTATGATAACGCTTATCAGCTTCTTCAAGGAATTTTTTGTATTCGTCCATTTGTTTCTTATCTGGAAAAGAGATTCCATATATACGTTGAAGAGAATCATTACTTGCATCACCAAGAAAATATGAGGCTGAATTCTAAAACCATTTATTTTTTGAAAAATAAAAATAAATACAAAATTCAATTGTGAATATAAATGATGATAATTTTTGTACCTTTGTGACACCAAAACTTTTAATTTTGCCAGTATGAGGTATATGAGGACCAAGACACAAATCTATTAATGGACCACATCGATATACTGTGGTGGATGTTCCGTCCGGAATTTTAGATTTGATCAAGTGCACTTTGTATTGATTATGCTAAAAATTAACCATAAATTAATAACCTGTAATCATTTTTTATTTAAAATAATAGTAGATTAATCCTAATCCTTAATACTTTAAACATTTCTAATAAATTTTCCTTTGATATAACTAGACGTTCAAAAGGTTGTTTCTCCTTGATGATATTATTAGCAATTTTTTCAAGTGGTTTATAATCACCTTGATGTACAACTCTAATACAAAAAGAATGGTTCTTAATAACTATCAGCATTTAATATCATACTGTAGAAATTCAAAAATCACCTTTTGTCAATAGCCATTTCATAATAAAAGCCATCATCTAATGGTGGTCCTATACAAAGATGACATCCGTAATGTCTTTCACAAGCTTCTCCAAGAACATGTGCACTGGAATGCCAAAATACCATTTTTCCTGTGAAACAAATCAATATGAATTTTTCTAAATAATTACAATATCCTTTTTCTAATTAAATAGAACAAGATTTACCTTCATCGTGGTCAAAATCTAAAAACTCCAATTTGCAATCATTTTCAAGTGGTCTCAAAAGATCAAATAGCACTTCATCAACCTATATACAAAAAAAAAGTCCAACCAAAAATTTTAGTAGCGACATTAGGAGAAAAACAATATTTCACAAGAAAACGACCGATTGAATCTGACCTTGGAAATTACAATGCGTTCAGACAAAGATTTGGATATTCCTTTAGCTATATCCATAGGCGAAGTTTCCCAGGCAGTTGCTTGAGTGGTTTTTCCATCAGGAAAGGTAATGGTAATTGGTACACGTGGTTTTTCTAAATGAAAATATAATTTTATCTTTCTTTATCAACGATATATAGTTTTCATAATTTAATATAAAAAGATTACTTTTAATTTCTTCATCATATTCTTTTTTCCATTCTTCAAATAATTTAATTCTATGTTGAAGGTATTCTGGTGGTGGATCAATCTTTACAAAAAAGGTTTTTGAATTTTGGTACAATATATAAATATATAAAGATTTCACAAGATTCAACTCACTTCTAAAGGAAAATCGGTGGTAGCCTCTTCTTTTTTCTTAGCTTTAGTTTTCTTCTTGTCAGGTTTTGGATTTTGTGGAATTTCTTCAACAGGTTTCACAACTGATACCTCGCCTTTTGTAGACATTTTTGTTCTTTAAAAATAAAAAAATCTAATCAAAAATTATCTTAGGGTCTCACAAGAATAATAATATTTTCAAAGTTCTGGTGTAACAGTGTAAAAATTAATCATTAGAAAGTTCAATTGAAATTACGAATAAATTTATTACTTAATATTTATTTCTCAAAATAAAAAAAATAGTGATATGTAACAGCAAATAAATGTATAAATATGGATGAATTAAATAAATAAATTTATGATCAATCCTTTCATTCCTCTTCTCTATCAATTTCTTTTAAAATAAAATTAACAGCATCTAAATCTGACCAATAGCTCAAATGTACAGTTATAGCATTAATGTAACTAACATCTAATAATCCTTCCTAATTACATAAAATAAAATAAATAAAATAATATATTAATTATTATTTTCCCATCTGAAATACGCGTCGATTTCAATTCCGATTTACCTGTAAAACATAATCCACTCTACCAGAAACATTTAAATTTTTAATTCTAGCAGCTCCGTTTTTTTCAATCTCTTTATCATCCGTTGTGTTTTTTGCATCTTTTGTAAAATTTGTTGGTGGATAATTGGTTAAAGCGTCTCCTTCATTAGCACCAGATATAACATCATCGCCACTACCATTATTACTATTGTTGCCGTCATTGTCGTTTCCAGGAATGCTTCCAATAGAAGATGACTTTTTATGAGCACCACTATTAATATTACTACTACTGGTGCTGATGGCACCACTATTATTTAACGTTACTGATGATGATGACGACAACGACGATGATGATTGTAACATGGACAATCCTTTTGTAAACATCAAGGAAGTTCTAACTGTTGAAAAAATATTAGTTGCTTTATTTGCAAGATCATTACTAAATTCTTGTATACCCATGTGCACTGCTTTAAGGCCGCCTTTATGATATGGAATTAAAGCAGGTTTTAACATCGCTCCATAATGACGTGCTATCAATGGTTCTATTTACAATAAATATATTAATTAGTATTGTAAGAAATATTCTCTCAAAGAAAATTCATCCATAATATTTACCTAACCTATAAGCGATTGGATCTTTAAAATGTTTAATATAATATCAAAATAAATTATTATCGGTTATTAGTAATTTGTTATTAACGAAAATAATATTAGTAGCACACACATACCAGCATTATGAAATATATTATATAAATTCTTAACGGCAGGGAAACACGATGGGATTTGATCAGGATCAGACAATGATAGTCCCATATTAGCCGCTAATTTTATCCCATCATCAATAAGTTTTTTAAGTTTCTCGCTATCTGTTCTTGACGAGATTTTTAACCCTTTTAGCAACAAAAATAGTCCAATAGGAGATCCTACCGCAAAAAAATTTTTAACGTCAAAATCTAATTTGACGGAATCTTTATGTAAATAGTTGAAATTCTTTCCGTCAAATATTCCCGACGGAGTTGATGGATCTATTGGAGGTTGATGACACAGTATATCAAATGCTAATACTGAACCAAGTGAATGCCCATATATTGAAACTTTGCCATTATTTTCTAAAAATTTGGGATTACGTTCTATAAAAAGATTGTAGACTCTATTTGCTTCTCTTGTAACTATGTTAATCATCATTTCACGATATCTTGGTGTCATATATAACAATACTGGAATAAATAAATAAGATTATAATAAATAAAATGAGAAATAACTATTTTTTTGACAAACAACACAACTGTGCATAATAGATTACCGTCCATTAATACATCAGAAATTAAATTTCTTAAGGTTGGTACACCTTCCAGAGTAATTTCATCAAGTGTTGTCTGACCTTCTTCAATTTCGGGTATACCTAAATCTCTCTGAATGTTTTCATCTTCTGAAGCCACTCCAAACTATTTTCATTTTTTCCGAAAAAAATTTATTCAAACCATCAATCAAATATATTGCTCACTAAAAACAAATTAAATACCTTTATTTCTTGACGCCATTGGATAGGCAAGACTTGAACACCTTTTCCAAATCTGCTTTTAGAATATGATTTATAGTTGGCTTCAGACGGATTATTAACATTTGAAAATGTTTTCCTTATAGTCTTTCGAAATACATTAACGTCTAAAATATGGATATATTTATATTTTAGAGAGAAAAGAGCGCAAACAAGAAACAATAATTGCATATTGCATAAATGAATTATTGTAAATAAATTTTACCGTTAACAAAGTTAATTGATTCCATTCTCTCGCTTAATTTTTGTCCAATACTAAGGAATGCAATTTTATAAGATATAGAAGATTAATTAATAATTTAAACAATAAGTTGTCATATAATATTCTATCATTTATCATATTCCTATTATAAATAATGTACCCATGAATAACCAGTATCAAATGGTCAATAACTCTCACTTCATCCTCACATTCCTCCTTCTCATAATCATAACTTTCACCAACGTCTTGATTTATATCTCTATCTTTTTTATTATCGGTAGTGGTACTTGCAGAGATATCCTCGCTATTTTTTTTCTGAAAGAAATTTTCAACTTCATTAAAACCTCTTAACAATCGTATACCACCCAAATGTAAGTTGTTTGTGAGTTTTGAATAGAAAGTTTTAGTTAATTTTCCTGCCATATCATCACTAATGGATAACCAAAAAAAAGTGTTAATACATAAAATTTCGATAGGATTAAAGTAAAATTATTACTAGATTTTTTTTTTTTTACCTTAACAACCAAGCAGTTGTAGGATTTGTATAAACAACATATTGTGATAAATATCTCCCAAGTAAAGGCCAACTTTTTTCTTGGATGATTTCTGATTGCGGTGAAGACGAATTAGTTAGATCTGACTCAGGTGGTGGCTGTATCCAAGCTCGATGTTTTCTTTAATTGATAATCAAAATTTATTAATCAAAATTTATTGTATATATAAATGAATAAATGAATAGCTTTGAATCAACAATATATTATGATGATTTACTTGTATCCTTCTTCAATCTGAGCTGCCAAATTTTCATCACATGGGATAAATTTGCCGCCTTCCCATATAAACCAAGTAGCACGTTTCACTTCATAGCTAGGGCCAGCCCAATAAACCTGAAACATTATTAAAATATTTATTATTATTATTAATGCTGTTATTAAACTAATGCTAATAACGCCACTACTAAATTCTTACGGGAGAAAGTTCTCTTTTATCTATGTCTACTTCAAATAAATAATCTTCATTACAAGGTACTTTAACACCTTGTTTACTAGACTTGTAAGCATTTTCTAAGGCGATAGAATCACGTTTCGAGAAGGCAACCCAAGTTGCCGGTATTTTTTGTTTTGGTGGGCTTGTAACATTGTTGTCACTGATGTTATTATTGTTTGAAGCAGCATTTGATTTTTTGATTGGTGGTTTGGTTGGAACATCAATAGCATGAAACCTGATAAAATTCAACAGTAAGATTCAAAAAATCAAACTATCTATAAAAGAGCCAAAGTATAAAGAGTTTAATATATTGCATGCAATACCAACAAGCAGAAGGTTCTGTGTAGTTATCCATCGAAGACATCAAATTTTAGAATAGGGAGAATCACGTGGTAATTGATGGCTCAAATTCTACACTACTAATACTAGTGTAACCTATTTTTACCGACCTTTACTAACTTTAGAAATTTTTATATGATGAATGATAGTTTTTTGAGACCTCTAGAAATCTCTTTTTTACTAACAAAATATATTGAATGAAGTATATATGAAATAAAAAAAAGGAATTCGACGCGTTCTAACCAAATTCGGGAATTTTGTAGTGTAGTACGATTCCATATGAGTCTCGATTTAATGAATGTTTAACTAGTACAAATTTAGAAAGTAACTGCAAAAAAATGAATTTGATTGGATATTTCTACAGATGGTTTCTAAATTTGTACTAGTTAAAATCCGTTAAATCGAGACTCATTGTGTAAAACAAGTGACAAAAAAATTTGAAATGGGGCTGCTGCAACAAAATTAGACAAAGTGAACATTAACATAACAAGAAAATCACAAGGGTTAAAGAGAACTTAGTATGTTTATGGTTTCAAATATTATCATTATGCAACAGAAACCATTGTGCTGACTAAATCCTTTATCAGTACTAGTTAGTGACTTGGTCTAAATTCAATTTATCTTGTCTAAATATTCAATAAAATTACATATCAAATGGTCTTTTCTTATAGACAAAGATCATGTGCAAGATTTGAAGCATGGTATTGACTATAATAGTTGTGTTTACAATAATTCTGTTATTGTGTTCATGAATAATTTCGACATTCAAACACATAACTAACACAGTAAGAGACTAATGAAAGAATTTTATTTATTATTAATTAATTCTGTAACAACAAGAGTATATTATTAATTATGTGGATATTGATACCATTTTTCAGATTTATTCTGCAAATAAAATATATGTATGGAGTTATTAAGAATAAAAAATACTAATTAGAAATCTTGTCACTTTCCAGATTGTAAATATTTTAATTCTTTACTGACTGGGAGTTGTATATTCTATGGGTATTATAAATTGGCTAGACCTATTCTCATCTTTCTCTGGATTCCTCGTGCCTCATTTCAGAAACTCCAACTTTCATATAGTTATTACTTGGGGCTTTATCATCACCAAATAAAAATTTTTAGATATCAAATGTCAGATAACAGTTCAAGCTCTGGCTCTTCAAATTATAGAAAAGAAAGCAAAAGACCAATCATTGATAGAAAGATAAAAAAGCTGAATACCCAATTCTATCTTCATTAGTACATCAGTATTTAGTACCTATCGAAAGGCTTTTTTCTGGTGTGAACAATCACATTCACTCCAAAAAGAAATAGGTTGGATTCTAAATTTTATTTTTCTTAAATAAAATAACACGTCATTATTTTTTTCTATTAATATTTTAAAGTGATAATTCAAATTTTATTAATATCACGCAAAATTTGAATATTAAATTTTTAAATGAAATACAATCACTGGCTCTACTCATCGCCACATATATTTGTCTATTGTCAAAGTCGCCAGTGAATGGATTATAAATATTTTTTCGACGATAAAGTGCTTCTCTTTGCACGACCTTCTCTTTACAAGGGGAAGAAAAACTACCAAACAGAGGGGCAATTAGGCCATGGAAATCAGGCACCTCATTTAATGTTATCCAATCGCTTGAATGATAGTTAACTATTCAAAAAAGAATCATCAAGAGGGAGTGACAGAGACATGTTTAAATCAGCCAAACAGAATTTCACATCTAAATATCCAACCTACATGTATCTCACGACGCGCGTATTAATTAATCTTTTTGAATTATTGCCATTGCTATTCTTTTAATTAATAATTTAATGTTAAATATTTTATTGGATCATCCATTCACCCCACAAATGTATTTTTTGTGTGATAGCGACGGCTGGATGAATTTTAAAGATAAATAGCGGATGGTTATACGGTAGTATGAACGCGGATATCTGCTCTTGTTATTTTAAAAGGATGGACTTCTAAGCATTGCATTTTTTTATAAGGTCTTTTATAAAAAACTCACCAAGCTACAGCAGTAATCAATAGTTTTCGTGGGCATTGTTAAATAAAAGAAATATAAAATAGATGGTACGGAAGCTCTATACAGTTCCAAATATTTTTTTAATTCATGAAAATCACATGATTTTCGTGTAATTAGTTAGACCAAATTTAGAAATAATCATCATTGGCGCTGGAAAATTATCAAATTTGGTTTTTTCATACGTAATAATGATAAACATCACTTCACCAATAAATTTTTTGGAAAAAGGGCTCTATTACTTTGTTGCTTTACCTCTCTGAAAGAGCGCTTTTCCGTATGTTTTCTGCTTGTCATTCCATTAATATTACTACAAATGAAAACTCTTTTGGTCAAATGAACGTAGATTTTCAAATGTCATCACATAATAAATAGTATCAATAGTATCATATTAATATTAATACAGGACCTCGGATAATTATATTTGTAAAAAAGAGAGGCATTTTTTTTAAAGGTATTGGTATTAAGATTAGTATGCAGATATAAAAAATTTACATAGTCGTCTCTTCCAGAAACCATTCCCCAAAATAAATATAATTATACCTTTTGTAGTAAGATTTTCTTTTTATATGTAAAATCGTTCGTTAGATTTTACTCGATTAACATTTTCTTTGTTTGCATCTTTTTTTGATAAAAATGCCTGTGATAATTAAATTATTTTAAAGAATTTTTTTTTATAAAATTAATTTTTTAAAGAAAATTTATTACGATTTTTTTTTAAAAAAAATAAACTGTATAGTAAATATTATGAAATCAGTCAATTCTATTTGTAAACAATCCTTTAATAATAGATATGAGACCGATAATGCATTATTACTTAAAAAATTACAAAATGGCTTGGAAATATTCGCAAGAAGTTTATATCAACGTCTCGACAACAAAAGATTTTTTGTTACAGAACAACATAATAGAATGATGAAAAAAATCGCAGTTTTAGATGTAAAAAGTTTAGAAGAAGTTGTTATAAAATTTGTAACAAAGTGTAAATTAAATTATACGGAAATAAGAAAAAAAAATGATATTGTAAATTTGCAGAATAGACTTACTGAAGAATTAAACCAAACATGGACTCAAATTGCATTGTTTGATCATATAGATTCTGACGATAATATAAATGGTCGTTTTAAAAAATCACATTTAGAAAAAATTGAAACAAATCCATGGGTTACCCCTGATCATACATCAACAGATATTCCTCAGGAATATCAACAATATCTACAAAAGTTGCCCTTCATATCAATTTACGAAATTCTAAGAATACTAAAACCTCTCGGTCCGATTGTTCCAGATAATTCCATATGGGAGAACATTAAAACTAGATGTAGAGGTTTTAGATTAAGTGAATACTTTAGAGAGATTTGTTTACTATATTTTAACAGCCAGAATGGTGATAAGTTTCCAAATATAGGTGAATTGCTTCCACGAAATCAGAATGTGTGGAAGTTATGGGAGAAAGAACAACTTGGGGTTAATTCTTCAAGTATCCTATTTAGTGCAAAGGTGGTTCCATCCAAATCAAAATTAATTTTATTTTTAAACCCACCAAAAATTGGAGGTTCAAAAAGATATTACAGGTTATACTCTTCGAATAGATTCTTGCATGTGCATGTTGAAACGGATAAGGTTGATAAGGAACTTCAATCACAATTATTATACCCGTTGAATTTATTTGGAAGAAAGTATGAACTTTTATATGCAAAAGACGGATTGTTTTATTACTTTGCAACGAGTGGACCTGGTTTAAAACCACAAACAATATGGGAAGTGATTGATTTCAATATCCCAATTGAACTTAACTACGACCTAACGGTCCCAAAATTCTATTCACGAATGTCATTAGGATTTTCTAATACCAAACCAACAATCATTTTTAAACCAAATGAAATTCACTACGATGTCGACGACATCACAAAAGATGGCCATTGTTTAACCGATGGGTGTGCAGCAATATCATGGGCTGCAATGAAAAAAATTGCTACTATTTTAGGTTGCGAGGAAACACCGTCTGCAGTTCAAGGTAGAATTGGCGGTTCTAAAGGAGTTTGGTATCTGAATCCAACACATGATGCTAACAATCATGATTTATGGATAAAGCTCAGAAAAAGCCAAATTAAATATAAATTAAGACCTCATAGTGTTGGAAATAATGACGAACATCTAAGAACATTTGAGGTAATCCATATAATTACAGCTCCTAGAATACCTGGCTTATTGAATACACAATTCATCAGGGTATTAGGAAATGGGGGCACGAAGGCCAATGTGTTTAACGAAATAATAAAAGAAAATATATCAAAGATAAAAAACAAAGTCATTGACAATGATAATAGACATGAATTAATATCGTGGCTTTGTGAAGTAGGTAATTTGACTAGGAAAAGATTAAATGAGAGATGTATTACTAAAGACAGCAATGACATCTCGTCAGTAATCACTTCCGAGGATGATTTGACAACGTTCGAATCAGAATTAAAAGAGCTTTCTGGAATGCCAGATTCGATACACGAACAATGTGTCCAAATGTTGCATGCTGGTTTCACTCCTTCCACATGTTCATTTCTTGCAAAAAAACTAACGGAGGTCTTATCTTATACTATAGACCCATTGCTGAATAAATATAAAATCGAAGTTGCATTATCCAGAACACTTGTCTGTATAGCTGATCCTACTGGTACGTTACAACCAGGGGAGGTATATATTCAATTAGATCGTAATGCTGGCATAGACCCAAGAACTGGTTTACCATTTTATGTCATCGAAGGTGATGTCATTCTAGCAAGAAATCCTTGCTCACTACCATCAGACATTTTGAAGGCTAAGGCCGTCAGAAACCCACACTTGAATAATTACTACAATTTAGTAGTATTTCCAACCAATGTTAACCCACGAGAAAGTTCTATGGCAAATAATTTGAGTGGCGGTGACTATGATGGAGACAAGGTATGTGCAACATTTATTATATTACATATAATTTTTAAAAATATTTATTAATAATATTAATAATGTTTTTTGTACTGGATAAAAGATCTTTTGCTGTTGGGATCCGCGTATCGTAAACTCATTTCATAATTCAACTTTACTACCTATAGATCCGAGCGTTACGCAATCATTTGATAAAAATAACACTAAATTGATACAAGAATTAACCAAGCACAAGCAACAATCAAAAACAAGAAAATTGCAAGAGTTAATTCTTGATATTCATTTTAAAGATCGTGAAAATCCACTGGGATTATACGATAGATTTCACCGAATTTATTCCAATAAACATGGCATCTCGAACCCAAAGTCCGTCTATTTTTCTCAAATGTTTGCTCAGCTCGTCGATGCTACTAAACAAGGTTTAAATTTGAAACATGGTGTTTTACAAGCCGACCAAAATAGTATTTATCAGCTTCCAGTACCAAAATGGATGGGGAATGATGATTCATTAAAGAAAGGAGGCGAGGAAGGTGATGCGGAAGCTAACGAAGATGAAGTTCATCATAAAAGTGTAATGGATATGTTGTACATGACTATTGAAGAGGAAAAACGTATTATTGGAAGCAAAGATTTTTCGGTTGTAAGTAATCAAGTAGATAGCATGGATCCACACATTCGATTGTTTTGGATTCGTGAAATAGAACATTCTAAAAAAGTCAATGATGGTGGAGCATATAGTTCGGATCTATTATTAATTGAACGTTTTACGCGTAAATTGCTTCAAGATTATAATTCCGGATATTCCAAGAAAATAAATGGTGAAAAAGAGGATCCAACAGCTACAGAGTCTACGTCAACAACAAAGAAAACATCATCGTCGAAAAACAAAAACCAAAAATCATTTAATTATAAAAATGGACCTCGAGATTTTAGCATTGATTATGAATTTTTAAGTAGATTTATTTCAAATCCACCACTTGAACAATATAAAAGTGATAGATTAAGGTACACCTCCCGTGAAAATTTTGGAAACCCACACGCAATTTTTGAATTGCAATTGAAATCATGCGCTCTTTACATGAATACCTTTTTTAAAAAAAAAACTGGACAATGTTGTTGGATGTTAGCTTTTAGAAGTTTATGCAATGTTAAAGCTATGATGGTAGAATCTGAAAGATCATCTGTATTGGGTGGACCAAGATTCGTAATTGATGATGTTTGGAATTCTTTAAAAGTTGATAAAAAATGGGCGGAAAAGGACAGCGAAAATAATCATGACAATATTGATAATGATGGAATTTTATACTAATCCGTTGTAATTTACATATTTTTAAAATACACTTGAGAGATTTTTAATTCATTGAGTTAGAATTTGTTTGTTTTTGTAAATATTATACACAAATAAAAATAGAATATTTCAAACATATTTTGTGGATTTAATCTTCCATCATTTAATAAAAATTGTTTAACTTTACCAGCAAATTTTTTTGTGGATTGGACTTTTGTTTAGTTTTTCCTTCGCTATAAATCCTCTATGTAACCAGCTCTATAACATAAATCAAAAAATAGACAAAATAATTAATTTAATAATATATAGGACCGGAGAGATTGAAACGAAACGCAAATCAGGCAAACCAATCGGTGAACAAAGATACGTGGAAGAACTGTTTGATAAAAGGTCGATTAGACTGAAATTCCCTCTAGTAAATGGTAATTGAAACCCGCAAACCACTTGGAAAGGAGAAAGAGTTTTTGCTTCCACTATCAAGAAAACAACAGGGCTCTCTCTCTCTCAGGGGATGGGTTAACAAAGAAAAAAACAAATAAAGAGGTGGAGTGTGATAATGGCGAAGAAATCAATGTTAAGGATATCCGACTAGTTTTTTGGCTCGTCCATTTGATATTAACAAAATATGCTATCTAATCATAAATTATCCGACTATCCGTTCAACTCCGTTCAATCAATTATAATAATAGTCGCATCATAGTAAATTTTATAATCGAATGTCTTCACACCCTCGTTTGATACCCTTGCTGTGTAGCAATCACTACCAGATTGGAGATACAACTTCTTTATCATATGTATCTGCTTTAAGAAAATTTTTAAAGCAGGTTGTTAATAAAACCGAAAATAATCTGGCCCTCAAAGTCAAATTTTGCCTTTATATACATATATGTAAAATTTTGTTCAACGCGTCCAATTGTAAGTTCAAGTGGAATAAATGTCCAAATATTACATTATTATGAATATTTACAGATTTTTGATCACTTATGTATGTCTTTTATAGTAAAATCATTTATTTTAAAAATAAATACACTGCCTGGAAGAACCTCATTTTTTATTAATTACACAAAAACCTACATAATAACTATAATAAAATTTATATCATCGTGTAACTTAGGTCTTGAAGAATATTTATATATAAAATTGCACGCTTCTATCATTCATATTTATTTATTTCTTGGTTAAAAAAAAAACTTCATTTTTGGATATTTTTTGAATTTGTATTTTCGCAGAATTTTACTGTTATTTCGTAGTTTAAGTTCTAAAATATGATTTGTCAAAATTTTATGTCTTTTCTATCGGTAAAGAGTTTGTATTAAACAGCAATAAAAAATTGATTAAGAAATTCGTTGCCTTTAATAAGAACAAAATTTGGTGGTAGAGCATACAAATTTCAGGATGACAATACACCAATGCATGCCGCAAAAAATTTGCAAAGTTGGATAAGAAATAACAACATAAACATTTTGTTTAATTGGCCATCGTAATCTCCTGATCTCAATCCAATTGAGCATCTTTGGGATGAGTTGGAAAGAAGATTAAAAAAACGTGAAAATCATCCCAAAAATGCTCAAGAATCGGATATTGCTTTGCAAGAGGAATGGTCTAACATTCCTGAAGAAGTTATAACAAACTAATCGAAAGCACGCCAAGAAGAATCGAGGCATGCATATCCAATAATGGATGGCCAACAAAATACTAAATTTTGTTTCTATTTTTTAAAATTTTGATGATTGTCATTATTTTTTTTTCATTTAATTGAAGTTTGTTTTTTTTTAAACCAAAAAATAAATATGAATGATAAAAGTGTGGAATTTTATATAAATATAGGTTTTTGTATAATTAATAAATAATGAGGTTCCGATACTTTCTTCCAGGCAGTGTATTAAAATTTTTCTTTGCCTATATAGATAAATAACGATTAGAATAATAAACAAGCAACAATAATGATTAAATTAAAAGGTGTTATCTCTGATTTTATTCATTTAATTATTTATCATGGTGATGTTATTAATAAAAGAGAAATTCTTGTCAAATCATTAATTGCTTATAATAACAATTGGACAACTTCAAATTACTAAAACAAAAAAAATTTAACTCATTTTAAAAAATTTAACCGATAAGTTTTATTGTTCATGACTCAAGCTTCGAAAATTGGCTGAGCCTTAGTAATATCAAATTTTATCAGAAATTCGATAGCATATTAATATTAATATATTAGTATTAGTGTTAGCATTTTGAAAATTCCGAATTTTGTTATGCACTTAAAAAAATTGAACAAAGTAAATTTCGTGTAATAACTTTTTTTTTATATTAATACTTTCTACAATGTACATGTTGATTTAATAACGAACATATTGCATTAAAAGAAAATCATTCCCAAATTTGGTCGTGAGATTCTGAGCATAACTTTCAAATTTAAGAGAGAATAAAATTTTAAACATTTGTATTTTTTACACAATTTACCATGGAACATGCATGTTATTGCTTTATTGTTTGTGAAAAAAACGAGAAAAAGAAGCAAAAAAATTAGGTAAAGGGGGGAAATCTACTCATTGCTAATCTAAGAAATGAAGAAGTCAAATAAATAAAAAATTGTGGAAGTACTTTATAAAATTTGAACCTCTAAAATTTGATCAACTACATTTTATATTATCAGCATCATTAATAATTATAGTGCTGCTGCTGCTGCTGCTGCTGCTGCTACTACTACTACTACTACTACTATTGTTGCTACTACTACTACTATTATTATCATTATTAGCATCATCATCATTATTATTGGTGCTATTAGTAGTATTAACAATAATAATATTATTAGTAGTGGCAGTGATATTAATGTTATTATTATTATTATTATTATTATTATTATTATTGAAATTAATATCAGTGTTTCCATTTTCATGACTTGGTTGATAGATTATACTGTTACTGGTATTAATGGTATTTGCAGTATTTGTGCTGTAATGATAATGACTTATATTTGCAAATTCGCCTTTCAATCTTTTGCCACCTTTGATCACCACGGCTGTCATTTTTGTCAGAATATTATATTGTTTCTCATCCATTTCAACATAACTTGGATCAAATCCTCGATCAAAATCACATTCACGCAATGGAACCATTTTTGTTCTTTTTACAATTTTATAAATAAAGAAAAGCATAAAAAACAATGGTGCTCCACTATATGCTGTAATGACAACCAAAGGATCTTTGTGACCATGATGTGCATCCAGGAATGCATGAATTGTTTGTCCAACTATAAGAATTGATAATAAACAAAATGTAAATATTGGACCAAATGGAAATAATTGTGATTTGTAAGGTAATTCTGATAACGAATGTCCCTATAGATATGCATATATATATATATATATATATATATATATATATTAATAATGTATTAAGACAAATTTATTCATTTATTTATTATTTATATACCTGAGCCAGAAATGCTCTTCTAAAACGCCAATGAGTAAAACTGATCCCTGCCCATTGAATGAATATTGAAACTCCAGAGATGTTTATTAAGATGATGTAAAAAGTCCCTTCACCAATAAATGACATTAGAAATGCTAGACAACCAACACCTGTAGTTGCCAATAAAGCAGGCAATGGTATACCATCTTTATTAATGTATTGGAAAACTTTTGGAGCATTTCCTTCAACAGCAAGATTATATAATACACGTGATGCAGCATAAAGTCCTGAATTTCCAGCAGAAAGAACTTTATATATAATATGTATGTAAATAAATAAAAATTGATTTTTTTTGATTTTTAATTTTTGAAAAAATCCAATTTAATTAATTTACCAGCAACAAGTATAACAACATTAACCAAATGTGTTGAAGCTTCAAGTCCAGTCCTGTGAAATACAATTGTGAAAGGACTTTGAGCTGAACCCCCAAGACCGTTTGCTATAAGATGTGGATCATTGTGTGGAACTAGCAAACCTACTACTATAATAGCAAAAATATAGAATAATAAAATACGCCAATAAACTTGGTGAATTGCTTTTGGTACATTTTTTTCAGGGTTTTTTGATTCACCAGCTGCAATACCAACAAGTTCTGTTCCCTGAAATGAGAACCCAGCAGTTAATATAACTGCAAGAAATCCATAAAAATCTGTAATTCCAGCACTATAATTTTTCATTCCAATTACTTCATGTGTCTTTCCAATTATTCCAAAATTTAATAAAATGCCTGTTACAATAAAAGCAAAAACTGTAATTATCTATAACAAATTTAAAGGTTACATGGTTAATTATTGAGGAGGAAAAAAAATTGTAATAGTATTTTTTAATTTTCACCTTTATAAGAGAAAGCCAATATTCTGTTTCACCATAACCTCTTACTGTGAACATGTTGATTATCAACATCACAAGTAAAATTACTATACTAAATATCCAAGTTGGTGCATATGGTAACCAATATTTTATAATTATTGCAGCAGCAACAATTTCAACTGCTATTGTCATGGCCCAAAAGTACTGTATATAGTATTTTCATAATAAAGTAATAGATGAATATTTAATTTTTTTTCTTTTTTTTTTCCAAAAAAAAATAATTTCACATGTAAAAAATAAATTTTAAACCCAATAATTCCAACCAAGAGCAAACCCTAAAGCAGGATCTACAAATCTTTTTGCATAAGTGTTGAATGAACCAGAGATAGGAATATATGTGGCCATTTCACCCAATGATGTCATCATAAAGTGCACTATCACACCAATAATAGAATAAGCTAATAGTGCACCAATTGGACCTGCTTTAGCTATTGATGCACCAGAACTTAAAAATAAACCAGTACCTATTATTATTAATTAACATGAACAAGAGAAAATTTGCTTTTTTATTATTGATGACAATGACTATAAAAAAAAATTTTATAGAAACATACCAATTGTACCGCCAATTGATATCATTGTTAGATGACGTGCTTGTAAAGCACGTTTAAGATGATGACTTCCAGGATCTTCATTTTTTCCTATGATTGGATCTATCTCCTTTTTTTCCTTTTTTTTTTTTTCTGTTGTCAAAAATTCAATGGCAACACCATCTTTTGGATTTATTTTATTATTAATTTGTGCTTTTGGTAGCATTGTTAATATATGTGGTTTTTAAAAAATAAATAAATAAATAATTAATAATTGTAATTATATATAAAGTCAAAGGACATTTATTTATGAACAAGAACGATGTTGAACTTTCTCTTTTTTTTTTGTTACCTTCTTTTTTTTTAATTTATCATTACTTTTCAAAAAAATTTTTTTTAGCACAGCCTTAAACAAAGTGGCTTTAATAATGATGTCAAGGAATTTACAGATTAAGCCACAAAAAGATAAATAAATAAGATCAGGATAATTTAACTGATAATATATAAAGAAAAAACAATTTATTTCTATTACTATTATTAGTTAAAGATAAGAATGCTTTGTAGAAAATGATAGTCAGAAAAAATTTAATTTTGTCAACCTGGTAAATTCCAAACGAAGATGTATCACCATTAAAATATACATTTTTGAAATCACGTTCAAGGTGTTAAAACGTTCCACAATTTTAAAGCCAGGTCTTTTGATAAAATTACAATCTCTATTTGAAAAAAGAAAATACTATTTGAAGTTTAATCAATTAATCATACTATTACTCATTACGATTATGATCGACAGAAAATCATAATAACGATTATCATCATCATGCATTTAATTTTTACGACTCGAATGTATAAAATAATGAATAAATATTTTTTTATAAAAAAAAAAAAATAAAAAAAAAAAATGTCTACTTCAATCCTCGAAGGGAATAATTCACAAAATGAAGTTAATGGATTATTCTATAAAGTTGATAATGATAATTCAATTTTATCATTGAAATTATCTAATTCATTAATTGATGATTGGTTTGAAGGAAAAAAACGTGAACTTGAATTATTCATTTGTTTAGATGTTTCTGGTAAATTTCAAATTTCTTGATTGAATTTTGACACCTTTTAAATAAATAACAATAATCGTTGCTATATACAAAATTAACCTGTAGGATCAATGGCTGGATCGGGGATCACTCAAGCAAAACAAGCAATCTTACACTTGATTGAATCATTAATTGCACACAACAGCATTGAAGAAAAAGATATCACATGCATGTTTTTTCAATCGACTTGTGATGTGAAAAGATTTGCTGATGATCCCAATTTACTTTGGGACAATGGAAAAATCAAAGAATATTTTAATACAATAAATGCTTATGGAGGTATTGTATTCGATTTAAACAATCATGTTATTGTTAATAAAGTTTATATGATATGTAATAATCAGGTTATATTTTTATCCTATTATTAGGAACAAATTTTATTTCAGTATTTGAAAAAATCTCTGAAAATATTAAATATGTTGAAAAAGATTTAGCAATTATTTTTTTTACTGATGGTCAAAATAACGTTAAAATAAATTTTGATCAAATGAAAAAAGAGTTACATGTTGGATTATCTTCAACTGGTCATGCTACTGAGATTCATACTATTGGTTTTACTGCTGATCATGATGCTGGTAATATAGGTTTTTTATAAGCAAACACTAATGTAAAATAATTATAATTATAATTATTTTTTTAAACTTACAAATGAATTTTTTTTGTAATCAGCACTTCTTTCTTGGCTGACTAATTTGGGCACCAAACAAGGCAACTTCCAATATGTGAAATCATCAATTGATATACAAGGTACTATGGAAACAACTGTTGGACTATTAGAATTAGGCGAACGTCTATTATATGTGAATATTGGACCTGATAAAATATTACCAATTAATATTGGTGATGATGGTAATGGAACAATTATATTAAAAGGAGAATCTTCAAAGCTTGATGAAACAACTCCAATTTATCTTTTAAAGGAAGAATCTTATTTATCAAATGGTGCTGAAAGCAATAATAATAACAACAACAATAAAATTAGAGCGCCATTAAAACAGATACAACCCGATGAGCCTATAGTAACATCACTCATAATTACTTTTATTCAATCAGAAATTACAAAATTAACTGATCAAATTATAAATCTCAATGTTGACAATAGAAGAGAATTGCTCGATAAAATATCTCAACAAATTTCTGTTCATGATGAACATTTGAATAATATGATGGCAAATGCTTATAAAATTAAAACACTTGGTCGTAAATTGACTATACAGCAATGTTTAGAGACAAAATCAATGGTACATCATTTCAAAAATCTTTTAGCAGAGTAGGTTTTTAAAAACTTTGATTATTGTTATTATTATCTTCAATATTGATCATTAATGATATTTTAATGTAATCCTGCTTATTTATAATTATACAACTGCTTTCTTTTTTTTTAAAAAAAAAATGGATTTTTATAGGGCTTTAAAAGGAACTTTGACAAATGAAAAAATAGCCAATTTTAATAATCTAGCTTACAATAATATAACCAAGAATAGATTGAAGAAAAAAATGAATGATAGAGCTGTTAAAAATATCAAAACACTAGAAGATATTGAAAAAAAAATTGAAGATGCTGTTAGAAAATTGGATTTTAAAAAATTGGAAGATGGTGAAACTGAAGAAAATCTAAAGACACTAACTTGTGCTCTTACTACAGGTAGTGTCTATAATTTAATATTTTGTTTTGTTGTGATTTTATAGTGAGCTAAAAACAAATTATTATTTGTTGTTAGACAATTATATCGAGTCATTAAAGTGTGGAGAGTGTATGTGTTTAGCTCTTGATGTAACAAGACCACAATCTGCAATAGCTGATCCATCAAAAATAAAAATCAAAAAGATAAATCAATCATTTTTAAGTTCTGAAGCATTTTTAACATCAGTGGAATATGCTTTAGGTGAATCGATTGATTCAGAAAGTGTTCATGGTGGTTTTCAATCTAACATTTTGGGTGCAAATGTTGTAAAAGGATTAGCCAATGAGAATATAACAGGAATACTTCCATTATATATTAATGAATATCATTGGTCAGTTGCAAAAGAAAAAATAAAGGTGAATATTTCTTTCCTTTTTTTTTTTTTTTTTGAGAATTAAATAAAAATAATAGAATTATCATTACTATTATAAATAACTCTAGCCAATAATGGGATATATAACAACTCTTGATGTTTTTGGTTATGCATATGATCAAGTCACTACAGTTCCATTCCTAGTACTGGCAAAATCACTTACTGATACATCAACAGATTTTCATCGAAAACAATTTAAGTTGATTCTGGATACATGTGATGCAATTTACAAACAATCTCAAATGTTACGTGAACAAAATAAAACTTTATTTGAAAACTATATGAAATCACCAATAAATCGTACAATTGATCAGGTTGCAAATAATTTAGTATATCTTGGACATTTATTATGTGCTGTTAGGTGTGGAGATGTCAACAAACATGATCTGAATAATTGGATACAAAAAGGAATGTTTACATATATAATTGAAGAAACTATTCGTAGACGTCTTAACAAATATGAGAAGGTTGAAGAAATGATGAATAATGTTTCAAAAGTTTTAGGAATTAATTCGAAGACTTTTATTGATGATCCTATTAATGAATACGAAAGACTTTATTCTGAATATGACAAGAAGTCAAGACTAACTGATAATTCAGAAAATGTTAAATACAAGGAAGCATTTAAAAATGCATTGAAAATATTTAAAGGTGCTACTGCTGTTGTTGATGATGACTATCAGAAAAGTTTAGAACAAGATAACAATAATAAAGAAACAAAAGATGAGGTTATTGCTCCTACGGTTCAAACAAAGTTATTTGATCCTGATAATCATCGATTACCAGAACCAGCAACAACTTTAATAATTGGTACTATTAAACAATCAACATCAGATTCTTTAGAAAATATTTTAATTTACAAAAAAATATTTGAATTGCTAATTACTAGTGAATTATTTATTGAAGAGATTATAACTAAACCAGAATTTTCGTTTAAATCCAACCAAACACCATTAACAGATTCATTTTTTGACCAATACACTTCCAAAACATTATTAGCAACATTTTATCAATCATTTTTACATCAACAAAATTCTGTTAGGCGTCAAGAAATAGAGTCAGACCCCATTAAATTTTTTGAGCCATTTTCTGAAAAAGACTCAACTACAATATTGCAAACATATTTTGATGAATATGTTACCGAAACATTAAATAAAAAAGTTGTTGATGTAATTAACAAGTATTCTGATTTGCAAAACCATAAGCTAATGTTAACTTTTTGTGATATTGAAAATGTCGAGGAGGCAGCTGGTCTTTTACTTTCGGATGTTAAGTTCCGTGGTTCAAAGATGTTTGGACAAATTATTAAGGCATTACAAATGCCAAATTTGAAATTGGTTGATGAAAAAATTCAAATGGTTGTAATTGGCAAGTGGAATGATATAGTTCTTTTCTATGATAAAAGTAAAAAAGATGGCGGTTAGTAATAATTTTTATAGATTGAAATTTTGATTTATTAATAATTCATTAATTGAATTTAAATTTTTTTTTTTTTGTAGCGAGAAAAGATCCAGCTTGGATTCCATCTAAAAAAAATATTCATCGTACACTTAAAGCTCAGAGAAAAATTTTACCAAATATGGAATATTGGATTAAATTATTTCCAACATACAAAACCTATATTGAGAAACAATACGACGAAGAATACCTAAAAAGAAAATGGTTAGAAGGCATTGAAAAAATGAAAAAGAAGAAGTTGGAAAAAAGTTCTTAACTTTGATAATCAAAAAAAAAAAAAATAATAATATATATATATATTTCAAGTTTTGTTTTAACTCCAATACTGTATTATTAATATTTACAATATTTTCAAATTTTTTTCTTTCCTATTATCATTATATTATCATTAATCTGCAACCCTCCTCCCTATTGCATATACATCTACCTTCTTTTCTCTTTCGTGAATCCTACCCTTTTTTTTATAAATTATAAATATCACCAAGTAAAAAAAAATTTCATGTAATAAATTCTTTAGTTGGGCTTCTTTTTATTTATTTCCGGGACTCTAAACGTGTTAAAGTATGAAATTATATATTATATACACATATTTGTCAAAACTAAGCTACAGGCCGACATAATGTTTCGCACGGTTTGAATATATATCCCTATTTAGATACATGTGACATTACCTACATTTAAAGATCTTTTTTCCTTCTAGATTATTATCAATCCATCCATACCAACTACGTGTTTTGCTAGTATATATGCTTCAGAATCAACCATTTGTAGAGCGCCTGTAAACTAAATAAGACAATTGATTAATTGTTATTGTTAATTATTATTATTATTAGATAAATGAAATGGCAGTTGCTCACACTCAAAAAAATTAATAATAAAAATTACTTTTTTTTCCAATTATTTTATTTTTTGCAATACATACAATTTCATGCAAGCTAAAAAATCATTATGTATTTTTCTCTTAGTTGGTGTTCCTCATGCTTTAGATAATATCGATATGACATAAAAATTGCTCACCAAATAATAATAATACTCAGACCATGCAAAAATAAAGAGAGAGAATACATACCCACCACCGCCTCAATATTGTTGATTCTCTCTTTTTATAAAAAAATAATAAATAGTAGATCCAATGTTTTAAGCTCGGGTATTGAATCTAATAAAAAATTTCCCACTTTAATCAGTCCCGCTGATAGCGAATTTATGCCCTACTGCAGAGCTTACTACGGTCTGCCTATACTGCGCCCAATCATACTATGGCGAGAGGGATTTCTCACTAACATGCATTTAGCCACTACCATTATAAAATATTTACGGTTACTGCAAACAGATACGGCTGCTGCAAATTTTATTTTTACACATAGTAATAGTTTCACTGTAGACGAATGACCGACTAATTGAATTCATCGATCACAATTCAAAAAAATTCAGTTACTGCAGATCACAAATTATTCAAGAAAATTTCGCATGACCAATATGACTAATAATACTATTGACAATAATTGAAACCTATTTCCTGCAGTCGTAGTTATTTGCGTCAGCCGTAACTATTCACGTCAGCCGTAATTATTTACGGCAAATTGTAGTTACCAACAGCTATTTATGGCGATGGTAGCTACCAGCCCAATCATTTACGGAAAGTGACTTTAGTCACCTCTTTTAGAAAAACAATTAATTCAATTTAAAAAATTGATTTAAATAACAACAGCAATCACCTCTGTTATTTTTGTATGTGTTGCGAGTGTGCACATGCGTTCGTGTGTGGCGTGCGTACGTTCGTGTGTGTGTTGTATATTGATGTTACAAAAGATCTCAATAAAAAAAATTCAACAATAACTACGAAGATCAAAGTCAATACAGTGGGCGACAGTAAAAGCAGGCAAATTTTAAATTTATCACGTGCACAAATTTAGCCAATAATTTCAAGAAATTCATTGTGATACGAGCAGACTGTGTTTTAGCCAATAGAATTTAAGAAAATTAATGTAATACAAATGGTTAGGAAAATATCGGTAGGGAGAGATTCAGTATGGTATAACTCTTGCAGAACATATGGTATGGTAGCATCACCTAATTCGGACATTTTCCGAAAGGCAAATCCTTTATCCATGGAATAACAATGGGTAAAGCTTCTGCCTTTCGGGGTGTGTGGCGTGGATATTTCTGATGTTGATCTCCGGGATTTTGTCCGGATAACTCACTCTATGATCGACAAACTCATGGGTAGGATAATTATAATATATCCCTCTACAGGCAAAACCTTTATCCATGATGACAAATGGATAAAGGTTTTGCCTGTTCGGAAAATGTCCGAATTACCTGGACCGTTTAAGGGATAGAGTTTTCCCGGTCCTCTTTCAAGTGGGGCTTCGTTGTGAAATTTATAGTGTGTGAATATCCTAACACACTTTGTCGCATAGCATGGAATCGATTAATTAATCATCCTTCAAACATTTTTGACAGTGGCATGGGCCGAATATTTTTAGAAGAAATAATAGTAATAGAAACACATAGTAATAGTAATTAAATAGATGGCCATTTCCGGGAATGTCCAACAGTAGATGGTTCGCTGCAATGTAGTTTTGTTACCATTTACATATACATTTTTACATATTAATGTACATTTTTATTTTAACATTTATTACATTATTACATTTATATTTACATATATATATTTATATATTATCATATGTATTTATTTATATGTTCATATATTACCATATTCATATTTATATTTTATTTATATATACATTTACTACATCATGCCGAATTGAGATGACGCCAATCTTTTATCACAAAATGGTTTTTTTGTATAAAATAAAAAAAATTTATTCATTTAGTCTTTAGAAACAACCTTATTGTTATCGAGAATTATGGCAGAAGCACCCGCTCTCAGTGTACAAATAGTTCGTGGTTTAAACGATAGAGTTTACGAGAAACGTAAAGCAGCTGCATTAGAAATAGAAAAGTGGGTGAAAATGAATTCAAAAAAACTAATTATAGCTTAACATTTAAAAAGAAAATAAAAAAAAATTGAATTAATTATTTTTTAGAATTTTTATTATTTTAACATACATAATAACAACCTTTCACCCTTTTTTTATTTTTTATATTTGTATATATATCTAATAGATTAATTAGAACGCATTTTGCTTCTAATAATGTAGAAAAAATTAAAAGTATTATTGAAAAACTCACTCAAGATTTTGCTTACTCTGCACATCAAAATTCACGTAATGGAGGTCTAATAGGTTTAGCAGCAGCCGCAATCGCTTTAGGGCCTGTATGTATCAAAAAAAATTATATTTACAATAGACAAGATATATATACATACACATATTAATATCATTTATTTTGAAAAATAGGATGTGGCACCCTATTTAGATGATATTGCTACGCCAGTTCTTCATTGCTTTACTGACCAAGAATCACGCGTAAGATATTATGCGTGTGAAAGCATGTATAATATTGCAAAGGTTTCTAAAGGCGAGATTTTGAGATATTTTAATGAGATTTTTGATGCAATGAGTAAGGTAAAGAAAAAAAATTTTTTTTTTTGATGAATTAAATTATCATTACTTCATATCTAACCATGTACCTTAAAATATATGGGAGCCATTCTAACAAAATCAGGTCTGAGACTCGTTAATCAAATTTGAAATAAACAAGTCTCAGACATTGATTTTGCTGGATTATATCCCATGTACATATATATATGCATGCGTTTCACATTTATAGCTAGCCGCAGATGCTGACTTACCAGTGAAAAATGGAACAGAACTATTGGATAGGTTAATTAAAGATATTGCAGCAGAACAATCAACCACATATGTTTCAGTTTTAGATGCCCCAAGCCTTGTTTCAAATGACGATCAAGATTTTTCAACGGATCCAATGAATATCCCAAGAACCACAGCATTTTCATTACCAAAATTTATTCCATTGTTGGCTGAACGTATTCGTGTTAAAAATCCATTCACACGATTGTTTTTAGTTTCATGGATTACAGTATTAGACTCAATACCAGATCTTGAATTGGTTTCTTTTTTACCAGATTTTTTAGATGGACTAATAAATTTTTTGAGTGATCCCAATGAAGCTGTGTGTGTTTCAACTTCCAACGTCTTGGCAAATTTTTTAACAGAAATACGTGAAGCTGTTGAGGTTAAAGAACAACAAAAACAACAAG